CCCCCCCTGTGCAAAGCATAAGCTCCCCCTCCCCATGCAAAGCATAAGGTCTCCTCCCCGACCCCTGTGCAAAGCATAAGCTCTCCCCCCCATCATGCAAAGCATAAGCTCTCCCCCCATGCAAAGCATAAGCTCTCCTCCCCACCCCTGTGCAAAGCATAAGCTCTCCTCCCCAACCCCCGTGCAAAGCATAAGCTCTCCCCGCCAGTGCAAAACTTAAGCTCCCCCTCCCCGTGCAAAGCGTAAGCTCTCCTCCCCCATGCAAAGCATCTGCCTGGCAGTGCCCTTCCTAGCACTGCTGTGCGTGGTGGTTCTTCCATCTCTTGCTAAAAGTGTTTTGCATTTCTCAATCCTTTATTCATTTACTGATTTTTTAAAGTGTGATCTTCAACTTACAAAATACCTTTTTAAGTTTTGATTGAAATTCCTCCAACTGTGCATCTGTTTGGGAACACACCTGTATAACGCTGAGGCTTTTCACTCAGGAACATGGTACTTAGCTCCAGGTATTCACTTCAGTAGAGTTTTACAGATTTCCTCCAAAGCCATTATGCTCTTCTTGCTAAGTAGGTTTTAATTACGGTGTCCACTTTGTTGATACAGACGATGGGATTTTTATCTTTCCACCGGCGTGTGCATCGCTGCTGATTTCACGTTCATATTTCATCACTGCGCGCCCTAACTCGCGTGTGAGCCCGTCTTTCGGGCGATCTCTCGGCGGGTCCAGGGGGGCGGCGAGGCTGTCTGCAGTTCATGACACTGCGTCTGCTTCTTGCCATCCCTCGTGCTCCTTCGCCTTGCTCGTCTTCTTGCACCGGCACCGACCTGCACGACGCCGTGAAGGGCGGTGGCGGCCAGCACCCTGTCCTAGGTGCCCGGCTCCCAGCGCTCAGCACTAAGCACAGTGCTGGCTTCCGGGGTGAGTTAAGTCAGGAGCAAAAGTTCATTCTTTGGCATCTGTTGAGAGGCAGTCACACTAAAAACTTCACTTATGTCTTAATGTTGTAAATTATATTAGTATATTCTTAGTTTTTAAATCATCCTTTCACTTTGGTCGTAAGTTTGAATTGATTAAGACTTCTGTAGAAACGGTGCTCCACTTCTTGGTTTCCATTTTCCGCTGTCTCGTTCAGCTTGGGGTCGGGTCACCCTGCTGACCGGGCACGGAGCCTCTATTTTGTGTAATTTGCTGGAAAACTTCATATGACATAACAACTGTCTACAAATTGGAGAGAACACACCTAGAAAGTCATTCATGCTGGCTGCCTCTTGTAGGGACAGATCTTTGAGCTTTTGGCAATCTCCACCTTAGTTATTAAACTATGTAGAATTTGTAATTCTTCTTAAATGCTCCTTGATAATTTATAGTTTTGTAGAAAATCATCCATTTCATCTATATTTTCAAGTTAATTGGCAATATTATACTTAATATTCTCATTGTGGTTTTTTAAATTCTTTTACACTCCAGTTAAATGTTCTCCCCATTTATAATGTTAGGGTCTTTCTCTCTCTCTCCCTCTCTCTGTCTTTCTTTCTCCTTGCTTAGACTTATCAGTCTCATTATTTTTCTGGTTTTTTCAAAGAGTAGCTTTTAGTTTTACTCATTAATCCTAGGGATTTTTTGTTTGTTTCTTAGTTTACTGATTTTTGCTTTTATACTTATTAATACCTTCTTTTTACTTTTTGTTTCCATATATTTTCTGATATATTCTAATACAGTGGTACCTCAGTGCACGAACTTAATTCGTTCCACAATTCCAGAAAAGATGGCAACATTTGTGTTCACATGAGAAAGATAGTCACAGTCATGCTTGTCACCCAAGGCAAAGTTTGCAAACAAAAACAAAATTTTGCCAATTGCTTC